GAAGGAAGGAAGGAAGGAAGGAAGGAAAGAAGGAAGGAAGGAAATGACCACTGAACTCCAATGACACTGAACAGCTGTTACAAAGTCCACATACTCAACCCCACTGTTAGGTAGTCAGAACGAAGACTATGCTTCATTTGCAATGTGGTCCTATCAGGCTGCTTTATCAAGTGACTAGTGAGAAATTAGAAGAAACAAACCAGAGGGAAGGCTGGAATATTGAGGTGCATGTATGACTCAGTACATCATACACAACAGCCATGAAGAGGGAAAGCCAAGCATCTAAAGAACCAATATCTGAAAGTAGACCTTGTCACCAAAGCACCCTGGCTATATCCAGAGCATTATCAGTCCAGGGACAGACTACAGTGGCTAAGGATGAGAGGACTTCGAGGACCAAAGGAACATGTTTGGCTGTGTCTCAAGATGTAAACTCTGAGAAACAGCTCCACCACCACATCTGCCTGCCTGCTGCCATGCTCCTCACTGTAATGGTCATGGACTCACCCTCTGAAACTGTAGGCCCCCAACAACTTCTCTGGAAGTTGTCTTGGTTATAGTGTCTTATTACAGCAACAGGAAAGCAACTAAGCCAGTAGACAACATTCTGAAGCACAATGAACAATGTACACAAACAACATACAAAAGACTTGGAAGACAGGAAGAAGACAAGCCTGATCTTGGTGCCTACAGAGGGCATGACAAGAGGGCTAGATACTGTAAGAGAAAGGAAGTCACACTCTTCTAGAGTGTGTTGTAAAATAATTTTTAAAGGAATTCTTTAAAACCCCGGTGGCTAGAGAGACGGCTAATCGGTTAAGAGAATTTGCTGTTCTTCCAAAGAACCTGAGAATTTGACTCTCAGCACACATGATAGGTGCTTCACAAACACATGCTACCCAAGCTCCAGGGGAACCAACTCCCTCTCTGGCCTCCACAGAACATACCTGTGGCATACACACACAAAAATAAACAGATAAATAAATCTATCAATAAACAAATCTTAAGGATCCTTTGGCCAGTGAGATGGCTCAGTGGGGAAAGATGCTTTCCTCCAAAGCCTGGCAACCTGAGTTCTATCTTAGAGAGTCACATGGAGGAAAGAGAACTGACTCCTTTGTCCTCCAGCCTCCACACAGGTGCTATGAAGTGTACACACACACACACACACATGCATACACATAATAAGTAAAAAAGGTTTAAAAATCCTTATCTAGGGAATAAATGGGTCAGTGATATAAAGATGTTTGCCTGCACACAGAAAAATAAGTAACAATTAATATAAAAATAAAATTTAGATCCTTGTGTAGATACTTCTACAGTTTTAGAGCCCCTCCCCAACCAAGAGATGTTTGAAGGCTTGGTCTGCAGCCCATGGTGCTATCAGCTGGTGTTGGGACTTTTATGAAGTGAGGTCTAGTGGGAGCATTCCTTCAGGAGGTTGGGGAATCAAAAGTGCTTTCTCTTTTGGTTCCAGGCCATGAAGTTTGTCTTTGCCTGCTATGCTCTCCCACTACGGCATGCTGCCTTGGCACAGTAATGCAACAGGGGCTAACCAATACTAAAAATGGACTGAAGTCTCTAGAACTGTGAGCCACAGTAAAGTGAGCTTGTGAGAGGTTTAACTGTCATTAAACCTGAAGACTTGAATTTGATCCCCAGGCCCCACATGGTCGAGAGAATCCACATATGCAAATTAAGTGATCTCCAAGAATGCACCACTGACAGACACACCACAGACAGACAGACACAAATGATAAATATAATTAATGTAATATAAAAGTGAAGTATATTTTTCCTATTTGCTAAGTGCATGTCTGGACACATATTTTGTTTATCCTCCAACTGTGAATATCAGCGGCATCAATCAATTAACTAATCAAATCAATTAACTAATAGATTTTAAAAAACAGTAATTCTAAAAAATTCATGGTACTCTCAAGTGGAGTAGAAAATGTGGAATTCTAAAGCACAACACTGTTCTTGCCAAGCTATGATGAGCATTAGTCAATTCAGTAGACATGGACCCCAATATCCACATACATTTCCCTGCTTTTCAGGGAGGGACTCTACACTACTTATATAATGCTGTGTTAATAATAGCTCCTTGCTGAGAATCTTTAGGAAGTAAGGTCTTACTGAAGAAAGTAGTTCATCTTTAAATGAATATCAGGACCCTGGTCCATTCCTCCCTCCCTCCTCCCTCCCCTTCTTCTCCTCTCCCTCCCCTCCCTCTCTCTTACTCCTCCCTCTCCTCTCTCTCCTCTCCCCTCCCCCTCTCCCCTTCCCTCCCCCTCTCTCCCCTCCCCTTCCCCCTCCATTAGCACACCACATATTCCCCTCCATGATTCTTCAGATTCACTATAGACCCAGAAACAACAGACCCAGTAACCATGGGATGAAACCTCTACAATATAATAATCCAAAATAAATCTTTCCTCGGCTAAGTATTCTGTCACAGCAATGGAAAACTAACTGACATACTTGATGGGCCCTTGGCTTATACTTTTAAAAACTGACATGTTTTCCTTACATTAAGCAACAAGTTCAAAGAAATTAAGAGTTCACATGAACATGATCTCTTTCACAGCACGACAGCTGCCTCACCCTGGATGGATCCAGCCCATCCAAGTGCTTCTTTATGTAAATACTTCACAAAAAAACAAAAAGCAAAACAGTCCCGACAGACCCTGGCTGAGACTTATGGATCAGTAGGCTGTGCAACAGATACTTGTGTTTATCACATTGTATAAAGTATCAAGAGGCCCAGTACAATCAATCTAATCATACTACAGTCATTTGTCCTGCAAATTTGTGAGTTACTGATAACAATAGCTATTGCTATTAAGTACCTAGTTACAAGACAGGCACTACAAATACTTAATGCTGCACTAGCAATGGGTTCACAGCATCTTATGTCATCTAGCAATCACACGCACCTTTACAAACATAAGTACATTATTCATGGGTACCTCAAAGCCTGCTTGCTGATTTCTCAGCTGAAAGGTTTGATCCTGTCAGCCATGCCCCAGCCTCCACTTGCAAATACCTTCCTGTCTGTCTGATTGTATACCAGTTGTAAAGAGGATACACCTTTCATGAATCTACAGACCCCTCTCCTTCCAGGCAAATCCTGGAGGTGTATCCTCCTCCCCATCAGCCTACCAGCAGCCTTTCAATGAGCACAGAATCCCAAAGTGAGTAAATACACCCACATCCTTGGAATGCAGGCTTGAGGCCAGGGACTAATGATGTGAGGGAAGGTGTAAGACACAGCCCCTGACATCACATAGCAGGCGCCTGAAAAAGGTAATTGTGCCCAAGCACAGTCAAGAAAGAAAGCTCTTATATTTCTAATGACAGGAATCACAAGTAGAGTGCCTAAGCTTGGTGGACTCCATAGGACATGCTAAACTCAAGACTTCTGTTACCTAAGAACTCTCAACTTTGAGCACAATCTGGTATGCCACAAACATAAACAAGAACTATGGAGGTTTTGCGGTTGGGGTTAATGGTGGTACCAGGAGCAGAGACAGAGAAAACACCCACGCTCCTGCTGTCCTGAAGTGCTCTGGCTAGTGCAGCTGGCCTGTCTTTTTCATTACTTGGTACAAAGTCTGTTTACTGGGGTCCCATAAAGAGAAGTGAAAAGCAGCTATTCCTGCCACCCTTGGGTCTTCCCTTTTATCCACATCCCTGAAGCACCCAAACATGCAGCTGCCTCTGCTCTCACACCAGCCATAATCAAAAGCAAAGGCCAAGAGGAAGGAAGTGGTCCAAGAGTTCTGCAAAGCTGAGGGCCCTCCCCACCTGGCGGCTAGGAGATGAGGTCACCAGTAACTGAGTAGTCACTACTGGGAAGCTGAGTGCTCCAGGGCCCACTGCAACTCCCCTCACGGGGCTGCTGGGCCCTGATGCCACCCAGGAGAAGCAGCTCTGAAGCACTGACCAACCCAAAAAACTACATGCCACAGAGGCCTGCACCAGCAGCTGGGAATCAAGCTGCTTTCAAGCAGGCGCAGCACAGATCTGCTGCTTGATCCTTATACTCTATTTCTACTGAAATGCTGCATATCGAGACCACGACCAATCTGTAAACGACCTCTGGGACGTGGGACGCTCCTCATACAGCGCATTCCCACACCAGTCCACAGCACTTGCCTCACCATCAAGACAGTCTGTGAGCTCTGAACTGAATGCTAGAATTTATTTTATACGACACAGAGTTGAAAAAATACCAAAACACAAAACTGGAGTAAAATATAAAGGGTTTTGAGGTTCATTTCCTACCTCCTTTACAACAGCACCCAAGCTGACACAGCCCAGCAATCACAGGGGTCAAGGAAAAGAGCTATTAGTGAAAGTGTGCCCCATGCATGGGCAGGGTCAGCTCCTCTCACCACAGGCAGGGCCTAGTGTCAAATGTTCTCACCTGTGTGCTGTGACTTCTAATGGACGTTAGCTGAATACTGAAGCTGAGGCTGCACTCAAATCTGGACTCCTCACCTCCTACAAGTATGTGATTAGACTTCCCTTAGCCATTACAAACCAGTCGGCAAAGACTGCAGAGAGAAGGGGTTGTGGTCCCCTGCAGCTTGTATGAGAAGGAACACCCCTAGTAAGAGCAAACATCAAACCATAGTGACTAGAGGTTGATAACTTTATCTACCAGCTAACATGCAACATCAATCCTGGACAAGTTATGGAATCCAAGAAAAAAAGGAAGTACATTTTAAAGCTGGGAGAGACATTTCTGAATCTTAACCAACCATTCGATACACTCCATCTTACTAGAGAACAGGTTCATAATGTTGGGTCTTCCAATAAAATATAAGCTATTTTATTACTGCCAACAGTAGTAATTTTTGGAACATATTTATTATCTGTTTTATAATCTCAATGTATATTCATGCTCAAGTGTTATATAACTATGCAAAAACTCTAAGCACACAACTATGATTAACCTGCTCTGAGCCACACAGCTATCATCCAATATTTACGTGTGAATTCCAGGAATAACAAGTAACTCGGTGGTCAGGAAAACAGTGGCTCCTGAGCAAGGCATAGTGGCACACACCAGCAATCCCACCGATAAGGAGGCAAGGCAGGACGGAGTTCAGAAGTCTCCCTGAGCCACAGAGAGACCTTATCTCCAAATAAGAAGAGAAAAAGAAGGAAGCATAAAAAGAGGGAAAGGAAGGAAGGAAGGGAAGGAAGAAGAGGAGAAGGCAGGGAGATAAGGGAGGAGAGTGGACAAGAAACCCTGATAAAAAGTAAATAGACAAGCAAAATTGTCACTTGCAAACTTATACATAAATGCATACCTTAATATAAATGCATATTTAAAAACTAAAGCCATATTTTAAAAATGTTAATGCTAAATACTTAACACTGTAAGTATTTAAACATTGACGTTTAAATATCTAATGTTACAGAAGGGGCTGTCCATGCAGATATACTCCCAGATTAAAAGTTAGTGTGAACTAAAAGTTAACAATAGTTTTTGTTTTACTCAAAGACACATTAACCACAAAGCCACTGGCATCTCTTCCCAGAATGTAATCAATATTCAGATCACTATTAAACCAGACAACTCTTTCATTCCCTTCAAAGTGCTACAACATCCAGGACATTGTCTAGGGCCCATATTGCCCTCTAGTGGCAAATACCACCACACATGCATAGCAGAGAATGCCTTCCTTAAGATGTGGCTTAAATTCTCCCCTGCTTTCTCAGATCAACTCAGTCAGACAGGTAGTGTTGGGGTCTGAATACTAATATCCCCTACAGGATCACAGTTTCCAATACCTGGTCTCCAACCAGTGGTAGTTGGAAAGTTATGGAACCTTTAAGATGTGGAACCTTGCTGGGGGAAATGTCACTGATGGTGACTGTGGTCTTATTACCTGGGCCCATTTCCTAGTCTCTCTACTTCCTGTGTGGAGATGAAATGCCATCACTCTGCTTCCTGACTGACAGGTCAGCTTCACCCTCCTGCTGCCACATCTCCTGCCTGTTATGAAGGCAGTAGCTCCCTTGCAAATAAGCCAAAATAAATTATTTCTTCCTTAACTTCTTTTGATCAAAGTATTTTATTACAACAACGCAAAACTAATTCATATAGATAAACAGATAATATATTTTAAGAGAAATTCTCAATACAACTAACTATACTACCACAATCATCATTTTTGTTAATTTTAAAGAAGAATAAGCTTGTTGGAATTTAACCTGACAGAAGTTCTTACACACAGTGGCTTGTTTGACGTGGCTGCTGCAAAGTTACTGGGCTTCTGAGAGAACAGCGAGATTTTATTCAGAAACATGGCAACATCACTTCTATCCTTGATAAGCCAGCCTCAATACTTACTTTTGGGTAATTTGAGTTTCCATTCATAGGGGTCACATATCAGGTATTCTGTTTATCAGATATTTACATTATGATTCATAACCGCAGCAAAACTGTGGTAATGAAGTAGTAAGGAGACAATTTTATAGTTGGGGATCACCGCAACATAAGGAACTGTATCCAAGGGGCACATCATTAGGAAGGTTGAGAACCACTGAAATAAGGCTTTAATTTTTTTCTAAGGATTTATCTATTTATAATTTACGGGTATCAATAAGATTTGCCTGCATGTTTGTATAGAACATGCATTCCTGGTACCTATGGAGATCACATGAGGTTGACAGCTCCCTTAGAACTGGAGTTACAGATGGCTCTGTGCAGCCATGTGTGTGCTGGGAACCCAGGCCCTCTGAAAAAGCAGCAAGCCTGCAAACCATCCCTCCAACCCAGATGCAGGAAACTCTTAGTTGGCACAGTAAGGCTAAGGGATTCTTGATCCACTTGGGCAAAACCCAAACCAAAGAACCCTGTCATTTGGCACAAAAAAACTTAGCCTGGCAGGCAACTCACATCCAGTGAGAAAATCTCAGGATTCCCGAAGCATTTTATCCACAGCAGCCCTGATTACAGGGATGGAAAGTTTCCATCTTTGGAGACAAGAACACCATGTGAGCTGAGAATCATACAGGCTCATCTGCTCTCCCAAGCACAGAAACTCACTTTTGCAGAGACTCCCAAGAAACAGCAACTCCACTCAACATAAACCTTGCTTCCAACACACTGATCCCTTGTGGCTCCTACAGCCCTGAACCTGTTTTTGAGAAGATAACATCTCACATATTCCCAAAGAAGAATATCCCAGAATGTTGTGTCAGGCCTCTGCTTGGGAACTAGAGCATTTTGGTTGTTTTGTTTCGTCTCTTCTTCCCACAAACCCAGGACCAATGGCAAGCTCAAAAACCAAAGAGACCTAATAAGTCAGCTAAAGTGTTTTCTTTGAAAATGTGCTAAGACTTACCTCAGTATTCCTTTGTATCTAACACAAGCTATATGAGGGCCTTTTTCATTACCAAAATAATACTTTTATTTCTCTGAAGACTGAATAAGAAAACAGTCATTGAATTTTTTATATTTACTATCTTTTAAGATGGAAAAAAATTGAAATTAAGACTTTTCAAAGACCATGCCCCATTTTTATCTATGTGCTGCCCTCTGCTGTGCTATAGACTAAATTACACTCCAGATTAAAGCCAAATAATATTCTATATAAAGTCATCAAACAAGCAACGTACTAAAACTAAAGTGTACAGATGATGATTAGAGGCTAAAAGTATCCCCCCATCAATACATCAAGGCAGATCCAACCCAATACACATCGCACTGCCATATGGTGAGTCATCATGGTTCCAAAAGAGAAAGACCTGAAATGCATCTGCTTTCATAAGACATACATCATGCCAAAGACTTTGCCAGAACTTACTGAATGAGAAGAAAATAAGACAGAAAAAAAGAAAAGTAATATTAAATACCTCTTGGTTATCTTTGTTTTGGTTTGCCCAGAAAATTTTATGATAAAGAGTCTCCATTGAATTGCTGGAATCAGTTCGGTCGAAACAATGACGATCTAAGACTTCCAGTGTGTGTAAAACCCGACTAATAGTCACCCCTAGATTCAGAAATTAAGGAGACAGTTAAATATCATAGTAAAAAATGATCATCCAAGGGAAAGTGATTTGTATTCTCAGCATATACTATCAAAGAATGTCAAGAACTAAAGCAGACACTCTAGACAGCCAGCAGCTAAAGACTTAAAGCTCCTTCACTCGTGTGAAGTACTCTACAGGAATGAGAGAAAGCATAAAGTCCACTACTCTGACGCACTCCCTCTCCCATAGTATACTGTACCTGCCGTCGACTCTTGACACTTGTCAAATGACCACCGAACTTCTACCGCACGGCCTCGTTGCTTTATCTGCTGCTCTACCTCATAAATCCTTGCCCTAACCTGAAACATAAATACTTCAAATTAACATGCCCTCAGAAACTCTCCATGGCCGCCTAAATCATATCAAGTTTTTTTTTTCTGTGAGTACAGTACCCTCTGGTGAATCACAATCTTAACTGTGTCACAGGAGACATAATTCCTGCATGAGTTGTGCATTTTTAAATTGAAAACTGATGATTTGGTTCAATAATAAATACTTATTAAAACAAACACCTGAGGAAAATTTAACAAGTGTAATCGTTTTTACAACATGGCAGAGATCTGAAAATCTTTGAACTGCTGGTCAAAGCAAGAAATGAATGAGCAACACTTCAGTAATTTACAGAAACAACTTAGTAAAAGACAAGTATCTAAGTATTAGTCATAATCCCAAAACTGAAGCTGCATAAGTCTTGAAGCAAACTATGCAGCACAGATAAAAACAAGCAATTACCTAAACATATTATTCCAGGGCTCACAATCGGGACCAGAAAAATCACCAAAACTGCCTGGAGAGCAGCTGCCTGGATACCAGAATAGTCTATTAATATTTGTGTTTTAAAAAAAAAAGTGCGGGGACCAAAAGTTGAGAAAAATCCCGAAAGTCCCCTAGAGACATGGCAGAGCTAGGACAGGCATTTAGGTATCTCAGATGCCTGGCAAAGCATGGGCCACCATACCCAGGGACTTCTGGGCAACGAGAACATTCATAAAAGCGATGAAGCAAATGTCTACCTGCTGATTGAAAGCTGTGTTCCCACCCGGCATGGGGAGGCTGGACGGGGCAACCTGCAGCAGATCCAGGGGAGAGCCTGGGTTTGCGATCTTATTTTCATTTGTGGAATAATTCCACACCAAGGCACTTGGGCAACATAGAGTGACAGTCTAGAAATAAAGCAGAGATGTTCCAGACATTTAGAGGAAGGAGAAAAAGTACTTACAGCAACTTCAATAAAATTGACGCTTTCCTACACATAACAAGGTTACCATTTCCTATAGATGATTTAAAACTACAGATGTCTTTTCCCATTCTTAGATACCCAGGTGGCAAGACAAAACTTAGAGTCACCACCACGGCTACTAAGAGTTAAAGTATAATTGATTAGCTAATATTCCAACACAATAAATGTAGGAAAATGAACAAAATAAATTATTTGTCACTTCAAATGATTCTTTATTGTTATCAAGAAGGAATACAATTAGGGTATTAAGTGCTAAGATTATAGCTTTAAAAAAAAATATTTAAAAAAAAAGATTATAGCTTTAACTTTATTTATTAAATAATGTGCCTTAAAGCTTTATAAATGCTCAGCAGACAGTATCCCAATACAGGAATAATCCAAATTATTCTATAAATATCTGGACAACAAATATTTTCAGCTTTGCAGACCACCTACAGTTTCCATCACACATTCTTCTTTGGTTGTTTGAGCCGATTCTCAGATCACGGGCTAGATTTGGTCTAGAAAATGTAACTCACCCAACTCTATCTTAAACTTTTATAAACACTTTTTAAAACTCAGCAGCTTATAAGAAGCAGTTTATACAATCATTGCAGCTGTTCATGAGTTAGGAATACCAATCAATCAATCAGTCAATCAATCAATGATGGTCTCTGTATCTCCAGGCTGGCTCTGAGAACTTAATGACTTAATATGTCACTATTTAACACAGTTCTTAAAGCCAAACTTACTACAGTGTCTTACTACTTGAGATGTTTCTAAAAGAATAAAACTGTGACAGTAGTTTTGTTACTTTTGTTGTCTGTTTCTAGACTATAATTTCCTGTTTGTCTCTCCCCACCTAGTACACCCAACCCTCATACTCTCTTTGATGGACTCTGATCATCACCTCTCAACCACACAGGCCCTTCAGATCAGAGCGTCATTTCTCACCACAAGCTCTGTGGGCAGCCTCAACCTATCTGAGGGCTTGGACCATCTAAGAGGCCTTTAGAACTCAAACACCACCCATCTTACCAGTTGTCTGCCCTAGTCTCCAGAACTAGACATGTAACCATCTCTTGAGCATATCTACTTCAGGGTTCTACTAGGAAAAAAATCCTGGTACCCTTTGGTATTTACGAGGTACTAGTTCCAAGGGCCTTCTCAGATATCCACACGCAAAAGATGCTCAATCTCTTATCTAAAAATTACATAGTATTTGCATATACTCTGTGTAATCCCCCTGTATACCTCAAATCATCTCTTCATTACATAAATGGCAAGCAAATAGCTGTCATACTGTGTTATTTTGAAAATAAGAGGAAAATGTCTGTGTGTGCTTAAAATAGGTAACTTTTTTTTCTGAGTTTTTTCAGTCTTCTGATGTGAACTCAGGGATACAAAAAGATCCAAATGCTCCCAAACTGACTAACCTAGATGTTTCCGAACATATTTCTTTCCCTCATCTCCCTCTTTCTGAGCTGTCCTCTCCCACAAAGCTTTCCTATGTGCAATTGACAACTGACAGCATCACTTCCCTGATACCAAACCAAAGGACACCTAAGCCTCAGGCCCATGAGAGTCTTCCACTCACTCACTCCCCCCCACCAGACTCTATCTGCACACAGGATAACTAACCAGTCCTCTCACCATTTGCCTATGCTCTTTGCCCTCTGCCAGGAACACTCTTTCCACTGAAACTACCAAACCTCTACAGAAGTTTCCTAGAAAAGCCTACTTGGCTTTCAAGCTGAGCCAGAAGTTCCCTTTTTAATCCCCATCTCCCCATTAACACTTAGCACACATATGATACGCAAACTACATTCTTCTTATGAGAACAGTGAACTCGACCACCATCAAGACCATGTCTTCCAGAATAGCCTGATTCCAAAGCACCCTGATAAAGAGTAAGACACAATAGGTGGCAGCTCTGGGGAGGAACTGTATTCATGCCTAACTAAAGGACCCAGAGCCAGCACGCTACTGTGTTCAAGGACAGCACAAGCAACAGTGACCGACTATGAAGAAACAGAGAGGCACCCAGCTGACCATGCCAACTGCAGACACAGAGATGCTACCAGAGATGCTATCTCGACAGAACGGGAACACAACTGACTTGAACTGTGGGTTCTCCTTGAAGGATGTGCAACTAACCTGCTTAACCATCCTAATGACAGGCGACACTCATGGATTTGGCAGCACTCACCTGGAATCACAGCATTCAGGAGGCTGAGACTAGGGCAATGCTCTAAGTCCCTGCCCAATCTAGGCTACATGGTGAGACCCTGTGTCTAAGTCAGCAAAAACACCACAAAGGCAAACCCAATAGTTTTCTTCTGCATAAATACAACAAATCTCTGTGTGATCTAACGAACAGAAAGAGATCATCGATTTCCAATTTAAGTTACCACATCTCCCCCACAATGAATTTTAACATAAAATAACACTGGCCATTATGGACTTACCTGCAACATACAACTAAGTCCATAAACCAAGGGGCCATGCTGTGCACAGGAAAGGAAATCCGAGAAGGCCAGCTGCACAGGGCTCATACCGGGCCCAGGGGTGCCAGGACTGGGGGTCCCAATACTCGTGTTGTTTGTTCCGATTATCATGTGGGGTGAGTGAGCAGCAAGGAGGTTGGGGCTATCACTCAGTAGCAAGGAGAGACGCCGGGCACAAAAGTATGCTAGACGACGAGACAGGTAGGCTGACTGAACAAACTCATCTGAATACTGAGAAGCAGAAGGAAGGCAGAAATCAGTCATGTCTCATGCTTCAGAACAACTACTTCAATTTGTCTTTCCTTCTTAGGAAGAAAGTCGTAAGTACAATAAAGACCAATGTTATGAATTTTTTCCAGTAACTATTAAGAAAATAAAACAGGAACTGCAAAGATAGCTCATCTGTTACAGAATGCTTACTGTGTGGTTCTCAGCACCTCCACGTCAGGAGGCTCACAACTCCAGATCTAAGGGATCAACGCCCTCGGTCCTCTGGAGGCACCTGCATGCATGCAATGCACATAAAGGCACGCAGGCACACACACATACAAATCTTTTCAAAAGAATAATTAACATGTCACATTTAACACAGTATTTTCCTTTTTGTTTGTTTGTTTTTTGTTTTTGTTTTTTTGTTTTTTTGTTTTTCGAGACAGGGTTTCTCTTTATAGCAACACAGTATTTTCAAATAGTATCACTTCAACAAGTAATTAATATAAAAGTATCCAGAGTATAAATGTTTACATAAAGACTGAAATCCAGTGTGCATTTTACACTTACAGTGTATCTCAGTTCATGGTGGGTAATTCTCAAGTGCTCAAACGCACTATCTGATGAGGGGCTAAACAAGTCATGCAAGCACAAACCATCCCAGGGGATCATTTTGGGGGAAACACAGCCTCTTCCTGTATGTAGTAGCTCCGGGGGGCAAGTGTAAGGGACACAAAGAAAGGCTGCCCACTGATGCACTTTCAAGTCATCTGAATTATCAATATCTCTATGTATTACTTTTCTAATAAAAAAATCAGCCTCATTCAAATAACCTGTATTTAATAGATTTTTGACAAGTTAGTTAGCCCAGTGGCCTTAGAAGCTATCAGAAGAACGCAGATGATTCTCTGCTACACGTACATGGACCAGTAATACAAATATTTTGTGTCATTTAGTATGATTTTCCCCCTCTCAAAAGGGATGTCTTTCCCCTTTCTACCTCGGCTTACCTAATCATTCTTATCAGACACATTTCTCACCATAATGGGTGGAGGAGAGATCTGCCATACCTGCAACATGAGAGGCAAAAGTAGCTTCAGAAGGCTGTCATCCACTGGTCTGATCTTCTCCAAGACGTCCAGGATCCATGTCAGATACTCATGCTTTTCCAACATTCCTTCCTTAAATGAAGAAAAATTACACTGCTGATGCCAAAGAAAACCTAAGTTTATTTTAGGTACACTTAGATGTAATTTCAACTCTGGGTTTCTGCTAGAGTAACTCATTCTCACAGTCCATGGCACAACTGTTTTATTTTGTCTGTTTTATTTTTGTTGTTGTTTAGTATGCATGGTCTGGGGTTTTATTCTTGTTTCTGGTAATACGCTTCAATCTAAACCAATTTTTTAAAACGCTAATAGATATTCAAAAGCCACCACACTCCAGGCATGGCACACCCCAACAAGACATCAGGCAAGAACTCGTTCTCAAGGAGGAAATGGAGCTAACAGTGACAGCTCTGTACAAAGACTGCTCACCGGCTCAAAGGTCTGAAAACTCCCATCATGCTCTGCACCCAGAATAATTCTTAAATCACTCTCAGATTTGCCTACCTATAAACATATTATTTGAAATATCAATTTAATGACTGAATTAAATCAATTTAGTGGACTTTTTAATTAAAAACAACACATAAAACAATTCTATACAACCATGCTGAAAAACAATTACATCTCTACACATTTACAAAATGTCCCACTGGAGCGGCATGGTTTTTTTTCTCTTACCTTTTTTTTTCTTCTTCTAACCAAAGTCATTTGACAAGTCTACTACTACTGAGTTACATCTCTAAAGAAGCCGTTAATCCTGACAAGTGTCCTCTGTCAACTGCCTTCATACACACACACACACACACACACACTCACACACACACAAGGCATAGTCATAATGTCATATCATAGATTTGTGTTATGATTCACAGCATTAAAAACTCTTCAAAATATCAGATAAGCAATGCTTTATGAAAATTGTATCGTATTTTAAATTTTAGTAAACATTTAAAATAAATTTATAGCAATGTATAATGATGTAACTTTAGAAAATGAAATTAATTTTAAAAAGGAATCCTTGGATTGGGGAGACAAGTCACAAAGTAAAATGATTGCTGTTCAAACCTGAGGGCCTGAGTTTGATTCCCACCATCCACATTAAAAAAAAAAAAAAAAAAAAAAACTTTTAAAAATCAAAAACAAATAGATGCAGGATAAACCTGCAATCCCGGGGAAGAGAAGTTGGTAAAGGCAGAGCCTTGGAGCTCGCTGGCCTATCAGCCTGGACTATGCCTAAGCCCAGTGGGAGACCTTGTTTCAAATACCAAGATGGACTGCTCCTGAGGAATGCATCAATACTCAAGGTTGACCTTTGGCCTCCATGGATCCATGCCAACAGACAAGCAATAACACATACATACATACATACATACATACATACATACATACACACATACAAACATACATACACACATAAGAAAACAAATTTTTTTAAAAAAAATATCATGGACTTAATAGTCAATTCTCCAATTCTTTTGCCTACAAATTCCTATTCTTATTTTCCACATATGTAAGTCTCCACATGTGTACACTAGGGTATCTTTCACATCTCAGAACACAGTAAATTAAAATATAAAGAAACTTTTAAACATTGACATCAATTTCCGTCATTTTAAGATCTGCTTTCCATTTTAAAATGACAACCTGGCAGGATACCTCAGTGGGTAAAGGCATTGGACACCAAGCCTGGAGACGTAAATACAATCCCAGGAATGCACGTGGTGGGAAGAATATCACACTGATTATTTTCTGACCTGTCCATACATGCCATAACACACATGTACACATACGTGTACACATGCACACATAAGATTTAATAAACGTTGCTACTATATTAAATAATCTTTCTAAAAGCTCTAGCATTCTGAGAAGACACATTTCTGGGATGCACACTACATCATCAGCTGAGTAAAAACCATTAACTGCAGAGCTGAAGCATTCAGTATAGAGCTGGGGTTTGCAACAGCTGTTTCTAATCATTTAAAAAATAACAATGCTGCCTCACAAAAGAACCCCATGGCTTTTTGTTGGTCTGTTTGTTTGTTTTACTATTTGAGCTACTCCTAAAACTCACTTACTGCCTAGATATTATAATAAAAGTCCTAAGAGGAATGTTTAAAAACCACATTTTTCTTTCCTCTTTGATTAACATAATGGATACTGAAAATCTGGGCTAATAATGAGACTTGAGCTGAATACACCTTCAGGTGTACTCAACAAAGTAAACCTGAATGAAAACAAACAACACCACAGCTGACCTCTGCTGGCCAAAAAGAATTACAGCAGCTTGTCTGGGTGAGAATTCAATCGTTCCTGGTTGCCCATAATCTGCCCCTTAAATTTTCATTTAAAGATAGATCTGAGCTTAATGAAGATGAACTTTATATAGAAAATAGTTCAGTGGCAGAGGAGATCTGTCATAATACAAGAGGTAACAGCACAAAGCTGTTTCTAAATAAATATATCTAATTTACAAAATAACGAGTTTAAGAGGGTTATACTTATTAGCACAATCACAAAGTAATTAATGGCACTAAAATACCTAATGGCACAGACAATCCGGGTTGAATATGTGTAGTAAACTGTCATTGCAGAGCCTATATGTTACTCTGAATGCAATGTAAGAAATGTGACTTGCACTGTAGTGCATGGCTGTAACCTCAGCCCTTGGGAGGCAGAGCCCCAGCACGGTCTATATAAGTGAGTCCAAGGCCAGCAAGAATTTGACTCAGAAATTTCACTCACATATAAAAATATCTTTACATACATACATACATACATACATACATACATAATTTAGCACCAGAAAATACAACTATAGACATCTACTAGCATGTTCTAGTCAACCACAGACCACATAAAACAGGTATATAACTGTACCATTAGTCTAATCTAGAATATAGCAGGTTATACCATTTACATATACTCTGTGATGCTTGTACAATGATAAAACCCATTTCTCAGCTAGCAACCCATTTCTCAGCATGCATTCTTGTTAAGCATCACATGATTGTACATGGGAGGTGTCCTTTTCTTGCACACCTTGGTCAGATTACCTGGAACAAGTGAAATGCCAGCTTCTCGTTGTACTCCCACTGCTTCATGGCTTGCTCAACCTCTGGTGGCACAGGGACAGGACCATCACCTGTACTGGAAGCCATGTGGTAAAAGTCAGAGATTTTGACCAACTGCTCTCTGAGGTATCTGGTAGATATCTGTGTCCACTCTGCATTAAAGAAAGAGAGGAGAGGGAGAGAAAGTTCTAATTGTAGACACAGCTGTAAGAATTACACTTCCCCCCTGATTATTCTGAGGATACACTTTCAAGTCTAACATTTGTTACATAATAATGATGTTTGCATGTGCAGCCATCACTCGGAAAAAGCATGCCCAGAACCCGGCTAGATCTCAGGAGGACAAAACCATCCCACTCTTGTGCTTCTGTGACCGTAACAGACATCTGTATATGAATGTCGTATGTGTGACAAACAACAGTTAGTATCATAAAACCACTGAAGGGTCAATGGTAAAACAGAAAAGCAGAGAATAACACTTGTAAGAAACCTCACTACACCAAACTTCTCAAATGTAGCTCTTAAAGTGGGCTTTCTTTCCTTTCCTACTCCACGACAAGTGTCAAACACACATGCATTGGCTTTTTGTCTGACTAAAGGACTGACATCCACAGGCTGAACCATAAGCTTCCCAATTTAGGCTGTCTCTGGGATGAGTACAGACACAGGCACGGCTGACCCTGACTAGGTCATCTGTAGCTAAGTTATGTTGTTGTTTTCTTCAACCAGAACTCATAGCCCAGAACTCAGAAAGGACAGAGTTGGGTTGACTGAGAAGCTTTAAAAGGTAAGAAATAAAAAGGGAGCAGAAAAATAGCACCAGGAAAGGGGCCAGGAGGCTGATGAGATGGTCCAGTGGCTAAAGCACCTGCTATCCAGGTATGAGGACTTAAGTTAGAATCCAAAGAACCTGCATCTCCCCAGGTTGACAGCACATGTTATAATCTCCAGTGTTCCTATGGCACGGTAAGAGGCAGAGACAGGAGAGTGGGCCAAGAGCCTCGTGGGACCCGCTTAGCTCAGTAGTAAATGACACAGGAACATTCTCTCAGCCAGCACAAGGAAGGAGAACCAAACACCAAGGCTGTCCTGTGACCTTCATAGTGGTGAAATCTTATGTGCCTACCCTGTTTCATGCCAAGACTATACACACAAACACACACACATACACACACACACATACACACACACATACACACACACACACACACATACACACACATATATACACACACACTCACAGGTCGCTGAAATTATTTTTAAATGACTGCCACTGGGGCACAAATTAAACTGTGTTGCCTCTGGCAACCAAATAGGAAATGATACTAACTTTAGCCTATTCTGTGGGCAAAAATATAGTAACTGTAAGCTTGCAGCCAAGTTTCCCCAAAGAGCTGGGGAAGCAGCATCTTCTAAGAAACCAACTCCACACAATGTTTTCCCATCATTTGGTTCTCCCACTGGCTCAGAAGGGAGGAACAGAGCCAAATCGTCTGACAGAATTGAGTCTCCCACTTTATTAAGTGTTAGTTTAGTCACATGTTCCAACTACATCTTATAAAGTAAAATTCAGTCTGGTATGGTAATGGAACTCTATAATCCCACCACTGGGGGATGAAAGCAAGAGGCCTACACCATAAGAGCCAGCCTGAGCTACATGAAACCCTGTATCATAAAACTAATATGATAGAAATATACTTAAGTGCATGCCATAGCTGTTAAACTCCAGTAACAAACAGTGCAAAGGCATGATCAGGTATTAATTAGGCTGACACTCTATTCTGGGTTTCACCATTTTTCAGAAGCACCACTGATTACAGATCCTATCACTAAAACTGATGGACTGGAACTAAAAGCAAGAAATTCCACTATGAATGTCATCATCCTCTTGTTCTCTGGTGACATGGACTAATGGTCCCATGATACTTGTTCAATCAAAACACCACCCACCTGCTTGTGGAGACATGTGGAGCTTACCTAACAAGCAAACACAGAAACCATGATACAGACTCTGAGCTCTGTTCAGCAAACCTGTAACTTGTTCTCAGTGTGGTGCTGTTAGCAAGCCCACAGTACATTTCAGCCCAAACAAAAATACCACAAGTCAGCACGCATCTACTTTGTCTAAGCCATTATCCTCACTGTCTTCACTATAGAAGTATAAGTTTACCACCAAAAACTTGAAACACATGCGAATACAGAAGAAACCCCATAATAGCCCACTTAACTCCCACCTTCTATACTCACTACTGAGACAGAGAGTCTTCCACGTTATCCACAGGAACGTGGTGGTAGCCCTTCCACCACAGACAGACAGCAAAGCCCACAGCTGCCCAACGTCCTTATGGGAAATCACATGGACTGGGCAGATGGCTCAGCCACTAACAAACCGAGGGTGAGGACAGAGTTAGGTCCTCAGAACACAGGTAAATGTCAGGCAGTCATGGTGGCACACCTGTAACTCTGGTGCAAGGGAGGCAGACACAGAGGACCCCCAGAGCAACAAGACTAGCCATGATCGGTGAACTCTGCTCAATATCTAAGGTGGAGAGAAAGCAAAAGGTCACCCAATATGGGCCTTGGGCCTCCACGTGCATGCACATGCAAATACATGTACCCACACAGTCATGCATCTATGTACGTACACACGTGAACACACATGCATATGGGAAAAAGTAAGGAAGAGGTATTTGTACAAAACCATAGTATATCCTCTTCATACTTTACATTGTTTCTGCACTTATAAAATACATTTATAAAATACAATGCAAATGCTATACAAATATTTGTTACACTACTGTGTGGCTAAGAACAAGCACAAAAGTATACACATGTTCAGTACAGATGTAATTTATTTCAAATATTTTTCATCTGTGGTATCTATGGATCTACTGGCTGGAAGATGGCCCAGTGTATAGCACTTGCTTCGTAGTTATCCTCATGAGCTCAAATCCCCAGAACTCAAGTGAAAACCCAGGCCTGGCTATACGAGCCTGAAATTCTGGAGGGGGATGGGGGTGGATATGATGGGGAAAATCCTCAGAACTAGTTGGCTGCCAGTCTCACTCTATATTCAGTAAAACAGGAATATGGCAGAGGGAAAAAAATGTATAAACACACACATATCCTTTCTTTAATCATTGAATATACTACATTGTGATATGAATTCCTTTTAGGAATTAATAAATGCTGCCTTCTCATCACTTTAACATCAGATATCAAATTACAAGGTTGGAAAGGTGGTTCAGGGATTAAGAGCTGGATGTTCTTGTCTGATTCTCAGCACCCAAGAGAAGGCTCAAAGGATGCCCTGGCATTTTCATGTGATGAAAAGAAAATAATAGACGTAGGGAAGATCTGGCTAGAGAGGATCAGAGTAGAAATATGGAGAAAAGTGGCCACGGAAGGTCCTCTGAGTCGAGAGTCCTGGCCACTTCAAGCAACTCAGAAAACAGGACCACACCTACCCTCTCGCACTATAAAGAAGGAAATGAAGTCTGTAAGGCTAGATGTTAGAGTTGTGGGTATGGATGCTACTCAGAATGCTGACGGATCAACAACGGAAAGAGCAAGGAGGTCAGCAGGCTTCATCAGTGCTCTTCCTCGTATTTCAGGATCCTAGAAGCACACGTCCATCTTTTCTAATGCCTCATCCTTAGAACAGAAAGCTGGCCCAGAGGGGTGCAGAGGTCAGAGTGCCTGCCCCAGCACCACAGATACAAGACCTATGAGACTGCTTAGGGGCCGTAAGGCTGAGGCAGTAAAACACCTGCCCTATTCATCAAACTCAGGAAGTCATAAGCATGCAGTGGGTGAAAGCAGAGGTACGCCAGGTTAAAAGATGATGTTCCAGAGCTCTCAAACGCTGCAAGAGCATCAGGGAGCTGGGGGCTAGGCAGAGGAGAAAGGAACAGCCATCCTGGTAGCAAACACAGTATGCCAAGGACAAAGAGGCCTGGAAGTTCTCATAGTGTCAAATTCGCATTGACTTGTCAGGATTAAGATAGGCTGTGAAAAATGCAGCAAAGTACTGAACGCTGGCCAATTCTAAATTTCCTCTTCTACAAATAATAACTACTACCTCAATTACCATAAAGACAGGTGTATTAGCTGGTTCTGTCAACTTGACACAAGCTAGAGTCATCAGGGAGGAAGGAGTAAAGCTCCTGCACAATGCCTGAGATCCAGCTGTAAGGCATTTTCTCAACTAGTGATCAATGTGGGAGAGCCCAGCCCACGGTGGGCGGTGCCATCTCTGAGACTGGTGGTCCTGTGTTCTGTAAAACAGAAGCTGAGCGAGCCACAGGAAGCAAGCCAGTAAGCAGCATCTCTCCATGGCCTCTGTATCAGCTCCTGCCTCCAGGCTCCAGCCCTGCTTGAGTTCTATCCTGACTTCTTCCAATGATAAATTATGATCTGAAAGTATAAGCCAAATAAAAATAAACCCGTTCCTCCCCAACTTGCTTTTTGGTCATGGTGTTTTATCGCAGCAATGGAAGCCATAAGAGAGACAGATGAATCACTAGCACAATGGGTGCCAGATGGGAACTGATCAGTAAGTGTACAGAATGATTCTAGAAAGAAACAGTGGACACTGGCTGCCAGTGGACAGCATGTGCTGCTTCTGATATCAGACCTTGATCCCCACTCAGCTAACACCCAACTGATAGCACAATGCCTGGTGCAGTGTTCATGGGAGCAGTCAAGGTTGGTTTCATGGCTCAAATACTTTCAATGGGTCCACTGTCTTTAATGAACGAAGATCAAGCTTCTTGCATAGACACTATATCCATCTCAAATGCTACCTGCTAGTACACACGTGACTGCACTACCTCAAGCTGCTCTGGTGCTTGAAGGCTGTGCTTGTCTAGAAAGCTGTGCCTGCTCGTCCGTATGCATGAGCAGAAATGTTTCTAGGACCAAATGAAATGCCATATACCGTTTCTCTGGCCTCTGCATACTGGACCACCACCTGGTGGATGGGATGGCACACCCTTTTTTAGAGTGTTAGCGCCTCAATCTGCTTTATTTCCATAAAATTAAGTATTGACTTCAACCAAGACATCATAAAGTCCTTCCAAAATAGAAACCAAGTCCCTACCTACAGATTCTGCCTTTCAACTCTTAGTAGGAACTTAACATCATTACTGCA